TTGTAAAGAGTATTTTTCCCTTTTGTAGGGTATTATCCTATTCGATCCTCCTCATCGCAGGTAGCCCCACCATCAGTGTGCTCGTTCTGCTTGGCTTCGCTTCGTTTGGGCGCTAAATTGGAACGATTCTGGGCTGCCATAATCCTGACCAGCAAAGCAAACGTCGTCAGAGATCGATATTTGAGCGTTGTGTTAGCCCGAGGTTCTGGTTCTTTTTCTTGTTCGATTCGATCAGTTTTCCGTTTTGGGCCTTTGTTCTCCGGGGCACTCACTTCCATAACTTATAAAACTTCGGATCCAGACACTCGGGCAGGTTTCCCACGGTCTCTTCTTTCCCTTTTGGCTGGGTGCACATTTCATATCCTGCAGACAGACGCACAACGGTTAGGGCAAAGTCCTTAATGCGTGCGATGGCGGCAAAAATCTTACAATTACGCATTGTGTTTGCTGCCCAACTGGGGAAAATGTGTAACAATTAGGCCAAGGCTCGAATTCAGGTCGAGGATCATTGCACAGGATCTCTGCGTAATATCCTTTTTCTGCTGAAAATCTGGCACAAGGAACACAATTCAATTGAGTTTAGGACAAAGTGTAACGAAGCGGATCTGCCTGGGTCTTTATTTGCCTAATCCTGAAAAATTACAAAATGTTAGGTGGGTGGTTACGAGGGCGGTCGCCTTTGGATCAGCTTCTGCGGGGATTTGGGAAATTTGTGTGCTCGGATACACCCTTAAAAAACACTTGGATATTATTATTAATTGAAGAAACAATTAGAAATTTATTTCTTTGAAAACTCATAAGCCAATTTAACAAAATATCATTAGCTATAAACAATACAACAATATTAAACAACAAGTACACCCAACAAAACATTGTCATAGAAACTAAACTATAATTACAATTATGAGTCTCAATAAGATGAGTTTAAAACACCTTTGCGGTATAAAAATAAGGCTTTTGACTACAGTTTTAGACTTGTTCGGTACAGAAATGAATCAAAAGTATAGTGGTTATATTATTAAGTATCAAATACATACTTATACTTTAAAACTTTTTGTAGTTTATTTTTAAGACCCGCTTATTAAAACGAAACTTTAATTTTTAGTTGTTGGTTGTAGTAGAAAATATCTATCAATAAGCTTAACGTATTGTTCCATATTAATCTTATAAGTGGTCAATAAAATAATTTTAGATTAGATTCCAATTTTAGATTACTAATTCCTCAAAGCAAAAATTAACCATGCAAATCATTCAATCTCCGATTAAGGTTATTATACTTTCAATAAAATAAGGCACATGGTATTTTAAAAATCTTTTTCGTTTAAAACTCATTGTATTTAAAATGCTAAATGCTGATATATCTCTATGTCTTAATAATCACAACATAAACATGAGTCTCCATTCAACCACTCTTAATTAAGACTCGAACACTTTATTCGGTCTTGTTTATGATCTTAGGATCGCTGCATAAATCTATTAATTTGAAAACCTCACAAACGATTTCCCTAAAAAAAAAACGTCTGCTTGGGATACATCCGCTCCAGACATAAATTCGTTTGTACTTGTTTCACCAGACACACACCTTACCCAAAATCTACACCTTCCAACCCACACCACCCCCTTTTAGTTTAGCTTAGTAATTGGCAAATTACCAACAACAAATAAAAGGGGAGCAAAAAAAAAAATAATAATAATAAGGCAAAAAACAAGAAGCAAAACTCACGTCTGGAAATACTTCCGCATCGGGAGGCGACTTTGTCGGGCTGCGACCGGACTTATTTATAGATCTGGGACTATACCATGCCATATAGTGCAGGGCATATATCAAATCGCTGGCTGTCTGGCGTACATATATATGTTCCTTATATTTATGTGCGGGTATATCTGTGTTTTGGTGTCTGATTCTAGAGCACAAGTGGATGCCACTTGGCTGCCTCTGCTCTGGACATTGGCATTCTATTTTAATGAATTATCTGCACTTAGGCATCGAACTAAGAACTCAGCACTAAGAGCTGTGACTATAGCTATATAGATCAGCCCGAGGAAAGACGAGAAATATAATGCAGAGAGAAGTGGGAGGTGGAATACCAGAAGTACTACTTGCATTGCAATGGCAAAATACAGATGTACAACTGCTGATTGGCTCAATTGGACGACTATTTGAACTCTGACCCCGTCCGATCCTCATCGGCAACGATGCCGCTTCTTCCTCTTCTTCCTCCTCCACCCACCACATTTCTTCCACATTTCCCACCCTTTCACCCTGGCATTTCCCGCTGGGCGACGCACCATGACCGAAGCTACTAATTTGGGCCAGTGATCGTCGTCGTTGCGGCGATCACTTGGAAACGTCGTCATCATCATCGTAGCTATCGATGGAGAAGACACCAGCCAGCGGCACTTAGAAAAATAACTTGGTATCAAAAGTACACTTGCAGGTGAATTAAAAAATTAGTGATATTTTTAATATTACATTTATAGTGAAATACTGATTGGTTCCTATTCGCTAGTAAAGTCAGTAAAAGTCGTGAGTTGGTAATATTTGGGATTCATTTGCTTAAGATCAAATGTAATCACTAAAGCTTTTTTGAAAATAAATTAAATACTATAATATATATAATATACATCTACTGTTTTGACTTGACCCTTTTGTATTTGTATTAAATTTAAGTATGATTCATTATGATTTTAAAATGTATTTTACAATAAAAGAAAGAAACATTTGATTCAATTGATATTCAATTATTTATAATTTTATTTTATGTATTATTTTATTTTATTATTTTTTAACTTTAAGTAAATGCCAGTAAAACTCATATTAAAACCCTAAAAAATCATATTAATAGTTTATATTTTAATATTATAATTTCTGCTATATTTTTTTTGTTTGTTAAATTTAAGTCAAACAAGTAAAAATCATTTTATAGAACCCAATCAAATTGAAATTATATGTTTTCTCTTTCTTGGAAAATGTTTATTAAAACGATGAATGAATGAATTTATTTTAAGTGCAGGACCACGGAACTAAGGGGCGGGCATGGAGGGCGTGGGCGGGGTCGTCCGGCTGGTCGCCGTTTATGGGCATTTGACTTGAAATGTCAACGTTAACGCTGCTCGGGGAGAAACTGGTTAACCAACTGAGGCGACTCGAGACCGAGACCCAAACCCAAGCCAAACCAAAGCGGATGCAGTGCAACTGAGCGCATCTTTAGACCCACCGACCAACCGACCAACCTGACGAGGAACCCATCCCCCATCCCCCTTCCCCTTCCCCACTCCCCTTTTCCAAACAGATTTCCAGTCGCAACAGAGCGGAAACGTTTCAACAATTTATAATTAAAGATTGCCAACTGGTCTCCATGAAGATGCAAGATTTATGGGATCGAAAACACATATCAGCTAGCACCTCGATACAATTTGTATTACAATAGAGCGATTTTTCTCAGGCGCGTGGCGCCTTTTTTTTTAATTTTGGCCAAGGGGGCGAATACATAATTATTTAAAATAGTCAAGAAAATTATCACGCACTGATTACAGTTCCAGGTGTTTTCCTATCTATGAAGGTAGTAAATGTATGCCAGTAAAGCTCTTAAATTGTCAATAATCATAATCGACAGGTTACTAGAATACATACATTACACTAGGTAAAAAGGCTTACTTATACAAGTAGCAAACTTAAAAACCCCTTTTTCTCAACGCCCATGCCTCTCCTATCAGCATGATGTAGACTACTTTTGTTTAAACTTTATCTTCTATTGATTAACAACTAAATCGAATGCCCCCCACGCGAATTCAACACCGCCCACAGCCATCGATTTCCTATTGAGTTGTTTTATAGTAAACTGGGGGGATTTTAAAATATTTAAATTATTACCTTTTGTTTCTTTTGTTGGCCAGGAAGTGGAAAGAAATCTGTTAATATTTACGCACCTAATGATTTGTTTGTTGTCTGTACATACACACTCCAAAGTACAATAACGTAATCGAGATAATTTTTGCTATGCCAAAGTGGGAACTCAGGGAATTTTCCAATAAATAAAATAAAAGCAATTTTAAATGAGATTATTGCGAAATAATTCCGGAATTTAACTGTTCAACTAAGGTTTAATGGCCTTGGCTTCAGTGCAAATATTATTCACATTATTCTTGGAAAAATCTTGACTATCTCAAGTAATTAAATTATTATTATTTTTGCCAACCTTTGATATTGGTTTATTTATAAGTTGTTTAATAACTTATATCTAAAAGTCTTTAGTTAATGACCAGGTAACTTTATTTGAAAAGATTTCGATACTTTAAACAATAATTTTTGTAACTAATAATAATGAATAATAAATTAATTAATAATGAATAGTAAATTCAAAACGTATCAATTCTTGTATTGTTATTATTATTATTATTTTACATTCTAAATTTATAAGTTGTGTGAAATAAAAATAATAACTACATGCGCTAATTTTGATTTTGGGAAATATTTCCATTAAACTAGTAATCAATTTGTTAGGTAATAATAATAATATGTAAGTTAATTTAATAAGGGATAATTTTTTACTGCAAAATTATGAAATAATAATTAAATTAATAATTTGAATAATTAACTGAATTTAAGGCAGAGAACGCACTCTTTTCCTCTCTTTGGCGGTCTTTTGCGCTCTTTCTCCGTTCAGTCGACGCATGTTTTTTAACATCTCTGTTCGTAAAACGTTAACATTTAACATTTCTGCTGAGAGGGACGCTACGTTGGCTTACGTTTTGAAACGTACGTGTCAACTTCCCTTTAAATCTCTACCATTTCCCGTATTCAACATTTCTGGTCAGAAACGTAACTATTAACACTTCTGTTAAGCTATCATATCTTTAACATTTCTGTTAAGAAAACGTAAATTTTTAACATTTTTGCTGAGAGAGACGCTACGTTGGCCTACGTCTTTTAATTCTCTCCCATCTCGTTACGTTTCGAATGCGAACAGACGGCTAAGCAAACGACGAAATTCAAACGAAAAAAATTTGTCGTGGGAGGCGGACGTGTGCTCAAAGTGTGTTCAAAGGCTAAGCAAACGGAGAACTTAACTTGCCATGGCTTTTCTTTTTCTTTGATTTGCGTTAAGTTTGAGCGGGTTGCGGTCAACCAGGGATCAGTATTGGAAAGGGCCATTCGGTCGTTTCAAATTAAAACTCAAATTTCAAATTTGAAGATCTCTCTCCAAGTGTCGCTCCAGAGAGCTACTGACTTCTGCTGTAAAGCCAAACTAATATGATTTAAATTGATTAATTCGCAATTAATAGAATTTAACTCGTGCGCGGTGTTGGAAAATATTTAACGCTTGTTTCGTTCGCTTTGCTGTGTGTTTTCCCGCAAGTGCAAGTGTGTTGGTGTGCGCGAAACGGAAATAAGAAATAAACAAGAGCGACAACAGCAACAACAACAACAAACGCAACAAGAAGTGCAAGCAAAAGTGAATAGGAAGACGAAAGAGGAAATGCTTAAGTACAACAACAAGAAATACACGAACAAAACGACAGAGTGCAAGTGCATCGCGTGAGTGTCTTTAAGTGTGTGTTTGTGTGTGTGTGTATGTTGGTGTTGGTGATGCGGCGGAAGTAGAAACATTTTGACTTGTGTGTTCTCGGCTTCGCCTTTTTATTTGCTCCTCTTTGCGGCTCGCATTCGTCGCAGCAAACGAAACGAAAACAAAAACAGAGAGCCAGGATTAGCCCCAAAAAGCACCAACAACCACCGCCCACTTACCGCCCCCTTAAAAAAAGAAACAACAACAATGGCCACTTGGCGCGACGCCCTCTTCGTCATCAGCAGATAACAACAAGAAACCCATCGAATTAACCAGCGACAACAGCAAAAACAAAGCGAAACAAAAAGCTAAAGCATTCTGGGATCTGGACATAATATCCGCTTCCGCGTTGCTTCTGTCGCTAAAAAAAAGCTCAAGAATCGAAGCGCAAACAGACAAAATCAGTCTTACAGTACGTCACCACAGTGCACAGTGGAGCAAACAGGTGAGACAGTGATCAAATATTACACCAGTCCAATGGATTTATCTTCATTGATTTAAAGGTAGAATTAAACTTATCTTACCCCGAAATTAAAATCCAATACCTTTAAAATTACTTTCATATAACAACCAATATTTTCATTATCTAAATTTCTAAGTCCTAAAAAAAGTTTCTCGACTTGGTAAATTTTTAAAAATTAAACTGTTATATTTTTATAGGTTTTTCTTATCCCTAAATTGAGGTTCCTATAAGAATAATCAACTCAGTTCTTAACCATTTCACAAAGTCAAATATCTCTATATAAAGACATTAAGTTATATAACCACGAACAAAGAAATTATACAAATTCTTTTGGAATAAACTTTAACATGAACAACAACAAAACCATTAAAGGATTTTGTCTTTTAATCAGTGCTAACAGCCATAGCCATCTTTGCTTTATTACGAAATTGTTAAAACACTATCTTTTGGTGTATGTATTCCCCATCACTACGTCACAATGGTCATGAAAACAGAAAACTGTCTTGTCTGAGCAGCTGATAAATAATTGCTCCACCTTAATCTGCTTTTGGTTATCTGCTAAATATGACTTCCCCACTTCGCCGCACACAACGTCTTACAATGTTTGAGTTTTTGGTCTCCGGTTGAGGTCAACAATTGGTCGGATCTACACGTGTAAGAAGATAGCTTGGGGTTATATTTGGAAGACTCAGCGACAACGGTTTATCTAAGGTTTTTGTTTAATTTATTTGCATGTTGTTTTTGAGGATCTGATTGTGGCATTTTCATTAGGGCTTGTCTAAACATGAAGAGTTACAATTTTATGGAGATGTTGGGAGTGGTTTTATACTTTAATAAATATCTTGGTTATCTGATATATTTTGTTTTATCTTGGATTATTATTAGGTACTTATGTATTTAAGAACAACTGGTAATTAATAAGGATCTTAAAAATTCTATAATTCTCCTATAAAAATTACCTTAATTTAAACAATACTGTTGACTTGTGAATACCAGAAACTTGAACTAAGTAACATATTCTAATAATAAGCTATGATAGTAATTTCTCTTCCAATTCGAGTTGTATTGTATGCATTGCACGCTTGACTGATTTCTTTGCATTCTATGATACAAACAAGATCGATTCACTTGGAAAACAGCTTTTCCTATTCGTATTTCACTACGTGTTACGGTACCTATGGTGCATTGGTGACGCCTGTTGCATCACATATGTATACTGGCTAGTCCCGAGTTTTCCGACTTTAAAAGCGGTAATTATCGAGTGCATGTCTTGGTCTGCATATCGGTATGCTATATGTTATAGAACCGGGCATTCGAATGGTTCTCGGTTCGGTTCACGAGTCTCTTGTTGCATGCACTTTTCTATGGAAGTGAAGTGAAACAAAAGCAGAGCGTTGAGCTCCAATTAGGGTGACTCCGGCGACTCTGGCTCACGTCAGCGAAATCTTATCGCCGAGGCGCTATGGCGAAAAGAAATACTCATACTCGTACTCGCACAGTCATATAAACGTACATACATACATATCAAAAAATAAAAAAAAAGGAAAACAGCCAGTAGAAATGTGTTTATTTATTTGCCTTTGCCGACCGACGACGTCGAACAAATCAGCCAAACAGTTCCTGCTTCTGCCGCAGATATATGGCATAAGTATATATGGGTTTTCAGGGGGTGAGGCGGGGGGTGCGAACTAGACACACACCTGATCGTGCGCCACCTCCGTTATTTTATATTTTTTTTTAGATGAGAGCAGAATTCTCGCCAATAAAGTTTATTATGTACAAAACAAACATACAAACAATAGGGGGCAGAAAAATAGATCTAAGAAATAGGAAAATAGGTTTCATTGCTACGAAGAAGACTTTGTTAATTAAATCAACAAAACTAAATCTCTCATAAATATTTTTTTGTAAGGCTTCGTTTACCTTATTAGTAAATAATTATTGGATAATAATTTTAAATATTAACTACAAAAAATATATGTTATTTTATTTAAATATGAAAAAGTCCAGTTGGCAAATAAAAGTTTTGTCACTCAATTTGTCATTAAAGAGAACTAAAAAATAAGAAATCTTTTTTACAATGCCATATCCCCAAAACCACATTATTCAGTTTATTACCTTTTTACCTGCATATGACTGTAAGTTCGAATTTATTAAGATCTGTTTTTTTTTAAATAAACAATTTTTCTCTTCAATTAGCGGAAAACGAAATAAAACTTGTAGAAGCTGCGATTTTGCTTGTCAGTTTTCCTTTCCTGGTTCTCTCTTTCTCGGCCCCTTTGCCGCCCCACTTGCCACCCCATTTGCTACCCCCGCCCCCCCCGAGAGACTTGGCCTGGTGACCAGCCGGCGGCAGAAAAGCAGCAAAAGCAGCGTAAATACAATAAATTAAATTCACTTCCGCATTGCTCCCAACAAAAAAAAACAACGTAATGGGGATTGGGTGAATGTGTGTGTGGGGAAAGACAAACGACGTAAGAGAAAGAGCACGGCAAGTGCACGGAAGCGAGAGAGCGGGTCAAAAGTGTAAGCGGGAGAGGGAGAGACGATCACAAGAAAAAGAGGAAGGTGGAGGAGCAGAGCAAACAGGTATAAAAACTGTTGATCGTGGGGAAGAGAGGGAGGGTGATGGAGCAAGAAAACATCGACCTATTCCCTCGCACACACACATTTGCCCAGCAACTGACTCACTCACACTCACACGTGCAAATCACAGCCAAGACAAAAAAATACAAAATACAAAAAGTATAAGCGGCGGCAAAATAATGAAAGAAAGAGGAAGAAAACGCCAAGCAGCAGCAAAAACAACAATAAAAAACGCCTTAAGACGACTGAGATATTAACACAAAATGCCGAACAAGCAAAAAGTGCATGAGTATGTGTACGTCTCGCTCTCTTTTTTTCGTAGTTTGTTTTAAAAATCAAATAAAAACAAGCAGAAAAAAAAGACATGACAACTTCTTCGGAAGGGATAACCATTTCGTGGATAAAATCTGATTAAAGTTTTAATGATTCACTATACATATGTACATATGTTTATTCTAATTTAATGTTGATCACATTTGGTTTTTATTATTCCAAAATTTTATTAAAAAAAAAACAGTTTTAAAAGATATGGCAACCACAACCCCATTTTTTATCACTTAAGGGTTAAGGCCTCAAGAATGTCGCCAGCACACTCACACACTGATAAAGCAAATGCATTTTGTTGTGGGCTTTGTTTTTCCTATTGCTGGGGCCACTGGTTCTAAAGTTTTTCTTCTTTTTCTTGCCATTTCGCTTCCTTTTTTCTTTGAATTTCGCTTGCATTTGTTGCATCTCTTTTTTTTTTCTTGTTTTTGTTGTTGTAACCTGCATGCGGAAGCTTGCATTCAATACAAATGCCACACATTTACATACATACACGGAGATGCATTATAACATATCCACACAAACATAAGTTGTTGTTATCGCCCAGCAGATGTTGCTATTGTTGGTTGCTGTTTCTGTGCATTTGCATTTTATAAAGCGGCGAGCGAGGGAACCACTTGTGCGTACTATACATCCCATTGTAACCCATTTATTATTTTATAGTGCAACGAAATCACACTAACCTGAATTTGCCATAAATGCTGCCAGCTTCCATTACGTCGCGTCTCAAATTCGCTAAAAGAAATAAAGAAAGTAGTGCAAAAGGCAGGCGAGAAAAGCAGCAGCAACAACAAAAACAACAACACTCCAATCAACGATCGTGCGAATTTGCCATTAAAAGCGGTAAAATATACACTCCACTTCCCTACCTGGCAACAGTTGAGGTTTTGCGTTTTTAAATTTGCCATTAAGGATGTCAGTGCACAGTGGGCATCTATAGCCATACCAATGAGATCATGCTTAGAACTGATCAAACTTTGAATCACTATTTTATCCAGTCATTTCCGAGAACTTGCATTTTTGTTTGATAATTTCATGATAAAATGAAAGTAGACAGTTGACGGTTAAAAAATTATAATGCTATTGTTAGTTTTTAAGGACTTGTAAATGGATTGTGAATCGCAGTCTTACAAACTTTTAAGCCTTAAAAAAATATCTAAACAATAGATACGATTAAATTGCATAAAGGGGTAGCTGAACTTGTATTATCGTTATTTAAAACTCTATAAAATCATATGTAAATCTATTTTAAAGGAAGTTTGTACTGACTTTATCCTACATTTAAATTTATTTCCGCAACTTTTAGATCTAATCTCTAAGTTCTGCACTTGCATCTTTTCACATCGATCTCCACCCAACTGGCGATCCATTCATCTTGCACTTCTGACAATTTCCCGCAATCTTTTCTCACGATCATCATTTCCCCATGTTTCCCAATTTCTGCCCGCACCGAAAACCCACTAAAACATAGTACACTAATACTCGTATTACTCCACTAGCGTAATTGTTGTTGTTGTAGCCAGAGCTGGCTTGCTATCACTGTCTCTATCTCTAGCGCTAGCAACTCTCTACCCGTCTCTTTCGACTGTCTGAGTAACCTGTTGTGTGAATTATGTTACGAACGTAACGTGTTTCAAAATATAGGAAGTCTTGCTTGACTTATAATACTCCGCTCAACTCGACTTTGGTGCTTTAACGGTGACTTGCTATTATCTAACTACAAAGAGTGGGAGCGGGAGAGAAATAGAGGGGTTGAGGGAGAAGAAGCGAACGAAGCGAAGCAACAAACAGAAAAAGCAAACACACAAATATTCGCCGCATTTTGCAGTTTGTGGCACATTTTCCTTTTGGCACACATACGTAAAAGGGGGAAGGAGGCTAAAAAAATGGGGGGGCGGGGGTTAGTGGGTGGCAAAAGGGGGGCAAAAGTACATCAAGCAAGAAGTGGAGTAATGTTGTGGAAAGTCGCATTTAAGTCGTCGTCTGTCGATGCAACAATTAGGTAATTTTCCTTCTTTCTTCTTATTGAACTCCCATGGGAGAAGTTGAGGGGGTTGTAGGGGAGTTGGGAA